GCTGAAGACAAGAGACCAAAAGGCCAGGTCACGTTCTCAGCTTACAATCCCGGCCGCTCACCCTCCACCCGGCACCCACTGCTGCTTTTCCTGGTTGGGGGACACTGAGGAAGAAGGGGGCAGGAAAGCCTGGCAAACATACGGGCTAGCACCCCACAGCCCGCCTCCTGTACAGCCCTGCAACTCCACCAGCTCAAACCCCAAAACTGCCCCTTAGGAACCTCAGCCTTCCAGGCCCTGCACTGGGGTCAGGAAGGCAATTGTTTGACAAGGGTAACCCTACCTGCCGCTCACTCAGAGCACAGCACAGCAGAGCATGCCCCGCCAACCTCAGCTTGGGCTCCATCTAGCCGCCAACTAATTTTATAAATAAAGTTTTATCCGCGCTCCGCCACCCCTACTTGCTTACACATGGTTGCTGCCCATTGCATCAGCAGACGTAAGTACTTGTGACAGAAATCATCTGGCCCGAAGGCTTAAAATATTGACTATCGGGGCTCCTCAGGGCTGCCCACCACCTGCCCACTGGGCCTGCAAAGGCACATCCTGCAGGTAACACCTTTTAAAGCTATGACCAACATGAGCCACACTGAGGCACAGAATTCTTCAAGAATTTCCACATCGAGTTGAAAGAGCATTGAATAAGTGAATGACGGGGTTAGTGACTGAAATGGATGATCACAGAAGCAAGAGTCAGGAGCCACCCTGTCCCAAGCCTGTCTTGTTCCGTCATCTCTCAGTCTCCCTTTGCAGCCAGTGCTTCCTTGGTCTGGGACCAGATTTATTCTAAAATTATTCTGAGTAGAAGATTGAGGGAGGGGGTCCAGTGGGGTTAGGAATTCACTCCCTGATCTCTGGTGGTCTATAAAACATGCACCTCACTATCCCACCTCATGGTGCTTTTCTAGAACCCACTAGCTGAGAGGCAAGCTGTAGAGAAATGTAGCTACAAGCTCACTGAAATCTGTCTTCTTTTCCTTATGTACACATACTTCTCAGCCTGTCAGTGGGTGGAGTCCTGAAGCAGAGTTTTGGTCAACGGAGAGAGAAGCGGAGTGATGTTTGCCACTTGCAGACCTGGGCCGTGAACACGACCAGCAGCGTTCCTCTGCCTCCTGCCCCACTGCTGGCAGGATACAGAGGAGACAGCAGGTGGCTCAGAGGCCCTAAGGGAAGACAGAGCCACAAGCTGGAAGAGGCTTGATCTTTGAAAGACGGTGAGGAGCAGAGCCCCCCATCTCCACCCTCTAGCTGCTAACTGGGCTTTACAGAAGCAATAACTAAATTTGTGATTCTGTTAAGCCACTGAATGTTGGTGTTTATGTGTGTCCACTGCTAACACTACCGTGGCTGACATGTAAGCACCATTACCTTTGCAGCTGATGGGTGCCAACCTGTTGCCTTCAAAAAACAGCTTCAATTCTGGGGGCTTCTGAACATCAAACTCCTGGCGAAGTTCCTCCTCCACCGTGATGTCTACTTTGCCAAAGCCGACCCCGTTCTTGCCCTTGCCCACGATCTCCACGGCTTTGCCCAGCTCCTTGGCGAGGCTCCTGGATTGCTTTGAGGACGGGTCATCTGAAAGAGCCAGGGTGAAACAGGCTCGCTGGCACCCCCCGCTGCCTCCCCAGGGAGAGCCCAGTCTGGCTGCTTATCCCCGGGCTGCCTTGCGCACTGCTGATACCGGGCCAGCCTTCAGAAATGGCACAGGGGTCCTGCAAGGGCCAGCTTGGGAGACACATATCAGGGGAGGGGCTTTCGGTATCACTGGAAACGATGCAGCTGTGGGTGACTTACTCTGTGGGACCCTTTCCTCACAGGAAAGTGGGGAAATAGTGGCTGCCTCCTGGAGCTGACACAGCCAAAGGGCTCCCCGGACAATCAGTTAGAAGTGCTTATTATTCCTAAGAGCTTTACATGGGTTATGCCATTTAATCCTCCCAGTACCCTATGGGGTACATCTTATTATCTCAATTGTACAGATGAGGAAACTGATGACAACAAAATGACCCATTTGCCCAGGGCCACATGGCAGCCCCGAGCCAGGATCTGTACCCACATGGAGGCTCTCTAACCTCCACCAGCCTGCCAAACCCTCAGCACATGCTGTTATTGTACATTAATATAGTAATAATATGTAGTTACATGCAAATATAACATGCACTATACATAAGTGTGTATATATACATACATTATACATAAAATAAGTTTAACATATTACATCCTATTTAATAAAATACAAAAAGGGTAATTAACCATACCTCCGCTACACTTCCCATTGGCTAATCAGTGAGATATGTAAATTAATTGCCAACAAAGATGGCGGCCAGCAGCCACGCAGCTGAAGGGAGCAGCTGGCTTGCTTACTCCAGTGATGGAGGAAGTCAAGGTTCCCCGCCTGCCGCAGCTCAGGCTCTGCGCTCCAGATGAAACAATGTTGCAATTATAGAACCTAAACAAACCCTAGAGACCTGCTTT